CCCCCCGGTATACTTGCATAGAGGTACAGCTGTACAAAGCTGGATGAAAACATTTTGTGTCCAGGAGCTTACATCCATACCTTTATACAAGTATATACTCGGAGCAGGGTTTACCGTGTTTACCGGTGTAAAGCCACAGACTTTCATTGATTTGTACAAGCCGGCTGTACGCAAAACCTGTGGCTCCAGGGTGCACAGATCTGACCATTTCTTCACAGTGTATGGACCTCTGCACCCGGGTGAATGAGCCCTAATATAGCAGGATCATGCAGCTGTACCTCCAGTAATGCTGTGTACCTCATTCAATGTAACGAGCAACCATGGATGTTGCACTGGTGAATCACAACAGAAATTACAAAAAAAATAATCAATCTACATAGACAGACCATAATAAACAGAAGAAAGATTTTCAAGGAAGATGATTACTTCACACCTATGGGACATCATCTCCCACATCCAAGCTAGTTCCCATGATAAACTACAATCTCAATACAAATTACTAAACTAAATGTGAGATTTTAGTCCATCACGGGAGTGAGCTCGGAGCGGTGGCTACTTTACAACACACAGAGAGACCATGGTCTGGTTGTGGGAGATGATGTCCCATAGGTGTGAAGTAATAATTTTCCTTGACACTCGTTGAAGAGTGCAACCTCACACGCAGATATGTGCCTGTCCTGGAATTAGCACTATTCCAAATCTCATGAGTAAAGCTGCTAGTGCTAATGAAGAGGCTCATTTCAAGAAAGAAATCCATGAACCATCGCACTCCTAACCGCTTAGCTCCAAAAGTGATCGGATGGGTGCAGCGGTAGTCGACAGATGGCAACCGTCATATAACAGTAGAGACAGGGACACCGGCACTCCAATATAAACGTGAAAGTCTTATTTATTGCAGGGATGCAACATATCACATAGATGCAACGACCGTTTCGGGGTCACGCAGGATCCCCTTCCTCAAGCAGTGACATGTGGCCAAGGATCTGACAGTTTTCCTTTGAAGCTGCGCTTAAATATCTCAAGTTCTGTCAAAGTGGATGTCTGTGTATAGTTATTGATAGCTTCTTGAGTATGAATGGCTTCCTTAAAGGAGAACTATAAGGTGAGTGCTTTTCACTCACCTAATAGTTCTAGCCGACCTGTGACAATGAGACTGTCATAGGTCGGCTCAGTAGATCGGGAGGTGAGCGAACACATACCGGGTTTGCTCGCCTCTCGATCCTGTCACGGCTCTCTTCCGTGACAGGGGGAGGGGCTGGATTCCCCTCTCCCCGCTCCGATCTGCCAGCGCTGACTGGCGGAATGGACGGGGAGGGGGCGGGTACAGCTGGCTCTGCCTCTAGATAGGCAGAGCCAGCTGTCACTCACGCAGCTGGGCGGATCCCGTCATCTACGTCGGGCTCCGCTCCGGCTGTGGCGTCTCAGTATACTGAGCTTAGGGTAACAGGAGGACGCTAGTTTGTGTCCTCCCGTTACCCTAAGGAGAACTATGGGGAAAAACACTGACCCCATAGTTCTCCTTTAACTATTGTTATGTTAAAGCCCATCTAACAGGGTTATTCACAAAAGGGTGAAGAGTTTGGAGAAGACAGGAGAAGTGAACAATCTAGGCCAGGGGCGCCCACAATTTTTCGTTCAGAGATCCACTTTTCAAATGACAAGCTCAATGAGATCTACCAACGAAAAAAACACCTCCATTCAGGTGGGGAGGGGGGGGAGCATGGCGGTGCATTGAAGTCAATGGCACCGCTGCCACGGCCCTCACCCGCAGTGCGATCGCCCCCACCCAGAATGCAGGCACATTAGTGCCTGCGTTCTGATCCAGTGCGATTGACCGTTTAAAATATTGCATAGCTGTAGCTAGCTCCTTTTACACCCGAGGCAAGAAAAAACCGTGCCCCCCCCCCCCCCCCCACCCCGGGGACCGCAGGCCTTCAGGGAAATATTAGGGGTCTAAACAGCCCCCTGATATTTCCCTTTTTAAAATAGAAAAAGAAATTGGTGGACACAAAGTCCTCAATCTCTTTTTTTGCAGCCTCTGTTCTAAATGAATGGAAAGAACAGAGGCTTCGCATGCATTCAGAAACTATTTACTATCATCCAGTTCCTGAATGGGGAGGAGCCTCTGTACAGAGTGCTTCTCCCCATTGAGAATCTCATGAATGAACAGGAAGTGATGTAAATCACGTCCTGTTCATTCATAACTGAGGACACATAGTACTATGTGTCCCCAGTTATTTACAAACACTGGAGTGATCAGCTGATTGCTCCAGTGTTTGTCCTGCACAGAGGATTGGTACATATCATATGTACCGATCCTCTGCCGCTCGGCCACGCACACGGGGGCTCAGCTTCTCCTCTGGATCTCCGCTGCTCTCCCGGGCAGAGGCAGCGGGGGATCCGAGGAGAAGTAAGGAAAGCACTAATCCTGCGGGGGACGTAGCCGCTGTCACAGCAGCATGTGCGGTGAGGAGAGAGAGAGTCACCGGCTGTCAGATTCAGGCCGAGCAGCTCTCTCTCGCTCTCCTCACCGCCCGGCGTGCTGCTGTGATAGCGGCTCCGCCCTCCGCCGCTGCCTGCAGCGACTCATTCACTTCTCGGATGCAGATGGGGGAGAGCAGCGGGGATCCAGAGAAGCCCCACGGCAGGAGGACAGGACATCGCTTTGCGATCAACTGGTAGATCGCTATCGACCTAATCGGCACCCCTGATCTAGGCCAACATAGCTGATTTGGAAAAATTCCCCAATTTAGCTCCCTTTCCACTTTAGCTATGTTGTCCTAGATTGTTCACTTCTCCTCCCTTCTCCAAACTCTTCACCCCTTTGTGAATAACCCTGTAAAAGCTTTGAAACCCCCCTCCACCCACACAGCTCTCTAGCAATCCCTACATATCTCTACTTTAAAATCTGACAGCAACGCCAATAAAAAAATTAAAAAAATTCCATCCAATCGATAAAAGAGGGATAATGTCATTGTATCTGGCAGACATCTTGGATATCAGACATCTGAAATTTAGGTTGATTATTACACAGTTTTCACAGCTGCTATCTAGGGAGTGCTAGAGAGTTGTCACAGTACAGAGGGACTAATAAAGAGCTCTCAACAGCCTCTAGGCACAGGCATTGCTAGATTGGCTGGCAGGAGAATAGCAAAGGTCACTTTAAGTTCCAAAAAAGCAATCCAAGTTGCTAAAGTCATGTTCCCACTATTGTCTGTGCTCTTTGTCTGTGTGAGAATCATGTCTACTGTATTACGCTATGATCAGTATATTGAGACATTTGTTCTCACCAGCCCCTGGGACATGATGCAAAATTCAAACGAGGGCCCCATGATATAATACGGACGGATAGTAATGATAACTTGATGTACAAAGAAGCTCTAATAATGAATTATCCTGCTTCCAGATTTTGCCTCTTTACAATTCCCTGTCGTTTTGCAGCATGAATCATTTTGATACATTTAGGTAATTAGTTACTCTTCCTGATTATTAGCAGCCTGTCAAATAAGCCTGGAAGTTTATGTCTGATTGATTGCAGAACTCTGCCTGAGGTCACAGTGATAATGGAGCTTTTTGCTTTTCTTGCAGTTGATTTCATAGGTGGCTTTGACTCCTATGGCTACCAGGGTCCTCAGAAGACATCTCACTTACAGCTGCAGCCCATGTATATGTAAGTATTTCATTTTCATGCATGCTGTGAGAGACAGTTATTAAAAGTCTACTTCTGCAAAAGGATTAAAAAAATTAAACACATTCACATCTCGCTCTGTTCTGACCTGAGGCTACCATCCAATATTAAGCCAGATATTTCTCTCCTCACTTCACAGTGTAATGATTTTTGGAAATGCTGTCTGCTTAATATGGACTCTTTCCATATCCTCTAATGGTTTTTCTCTTAAATCTGTTAAACGAAACATCTAACATATAGTTATATTAATTTTCTCTTTTAGAGTGACATTCAAATGTTCTTATCTGATGTGATTAACCTGTGAAAGAAGGATGCTAGCGCCAATATTTTAAAATAAGAAGAAAAAAAAAATTTTCTATTAATTTTTTCCGTTTTACCCCTTTTTCCCTAAAGCTATAAGAAAAACGCTCCAGGAGAAATTTTGCAATCTTGCTGGCAGTGTTAAAACAGGCGTGAGACAGATGATTAGATATAATTACTATAGGATCACAGGTTGTAAAGTTTGAGCCTGACCACTTCTCCTTTGTGTGTGTGTTTGTGTGTGTGTGTGTTTGGGTGAAAATCACTCTCAGATATTTGCATTATTGTCTCTGCACACCTGATGCAGTTGTCTGCCCTGGACTGAATGTACAGAGGTTGCAAATATACAAACTTCCTACTGGATTTGCACTACAAGTGCCTTGATTGATTCTTTTTGTAACCTGCTTGATAAATGCCCCACTGTGTATCAAGCATTTTGTAGACTTGCTTGCTCTTATTTTCACACACATTTCCATGCACTCATTTTTGCTGGTGATTGCATTGTTGCAGCATGAATGGTGCCCATCACCATTCATGCTGCAACAATTGTGATGGGCACCATTCAGTAAAGCATACAGGAGCCAACTGAAATGTTTTTTGTTGCTTTTAGAATTGGCCTCTAAAAAGTAATCCATGGTGGATCACTTTTCAGAGGGCAGTATAGCAGCATCTGCCTGGCATTTAGGGGGTAAACCTGTTGCCTCCCGAATGTGTTTTTTTTCTCCTGGAGCTACATGGAGCTACCACACTGCAACCGCGCTTGCCATGGAGTTGTAGCACACCATTGACCACATCAGGTTTTGCAGCATTGGCAATGTATATAGTACTGTCCGGTTGCAATTCTGACTTTGCAACTGGTAATAACATGGATCAGCTGCCTGTTCTTACCACCCCTTTGCTGTATGTGTAAACAAGGCCTTAAGTCAGTGCTGTTCACATTACCGCAGCTGCTTAGCAGCACAGCAGAAATTATACTGCACTTTGCATTTGACATGTGGTGCCATTTGTCAAACACAACCATAGAGGTGAATAGAACTGGGTAATTCAATGAAAACCCCCTTGGGATGTCAAAAAAAGTCATTCAGGAAGCAGTATTATTGCCCCCTAAATGCCAGGCAGTCTCTGCTCTAGTGCCCTGTAAAAAAAAGAACCACCGCTGATTGCTTTTTAGGGTCTGGGGCATGTGTAAACCAAGCCTAGGTGTGTGATATCCAATCACTGCTTTCACATGGCTATGTAGGTTCTTTTTTGCTAACACAAAAGCATCCATCATTGAATATCACACACAGAATAAAATTTCTAGGAGAAATAAAAACGATAATTTACATTTTCATTTATATATTATATAGATAAGATAAGAAATAAAAATAATGCCAAACGAAAGCCAAAAGTATGTTAAATAAAATTCAGTTACAAATCCACTGGGTATAGAAAAATCATTATCATGAACCAACATGAAACTTCAGAACAAAGCAACTTTTTAACTTTTATGCTTGCCTCTGCAGTAGTTTATACTCATGTTCACTTCAATCTAATGCCTTTACTTTCACCACAAAAAGCAAAGGGAAATCCCAAGTAGTTCCAGGAATAGAGTTGCATGCAGCTCATACATCTTCATCTCCCACATATCAACACTGGTGCTAGGCTATTAGCTGTTTAGGTCACCAGCAGTGTCACATTTGGGTGTAGAGAAGGACCTCAGTCCTGTGTAAGCTCCAACCAGGATCAATTTAAAACTTAGGGCTTTTTGTCTTCGTTACCAGCAGCAAAAGGGTTGATTTACTAAAGGAAAATGGGCTCTTCACTTTGCAAGAGATTTTGCACTTTGCAGGGGAAGTTTTCCTCAGCGGTGAAATTTCATTTTGCTAAGAATACCCAATCATCTGCAAGGAAAATAAAACAAACAGTATTTGTGCTTGCAAATGATTGGATGATGGATGTCAGCAGAGCTTCACCTCATTCACTAAAATTAGGAAAAATACTCCTGCAAAGTGCTAATTCCTTTGCAAAGTAAACAGCATATTTGCCATTAGTAAATCAACCCCAAAGTGTCACTGCACTGCAGGGGCAAACACAGGTTCACTTTAAAACAAACCATGGGTCTGTTTTGTAAAAACTGAATATTTGCTAAAAAAAACAAAACATATATTATCTCATTATCTAACTAATTAAGTAACGTAAAAGATCTTCCCCTTGTCTTACGGAAGTACAAAACCATTTTGAAAAATGTTATCATGTTATCTGTTATCTTTTGTCACTCTTGTGACCAGGCACTGACTGATAAAGTACTATAGTTATGTCATCTCACATTAGGGGGCTGTTTGTGCAAATGGGATTGAAGATAGTTACTATGTGAATAGAAAGTGAATAGGAAAGTCACTATATGCATATTTATAGATGTGTCCATATCTGAGCGAAGAGACAGAGAGGCTGATACTACAATAATCAAAGGTTTGAAAAAAGTTGAATAACGACATAGCACTGCTTTTATGTCAATGGCTTTGCCAAAGGTTCATTTTGAACCCTTTCATTTTGAAATCCCTTTCAGGTTCTGTAATACCTTTCTTTTTTTAAATATTTAATCTTTATTTTTACAAAATTTTTAAACAAATTTTAACATTCCATGTATTGCATGTTTACAACAATAATTACATTACAAACAAAATACAATAAACTCAAACCTACACAACACAAAAAAGCAAAGGGTAGAGGGAGAAAAACACCCAAAAATAAAAAGGGAAAAGGAGACTCTCACATTATATAAGCTGGAATGGAATCTTTAAATACATTAGATATCTCCGACGTCACATTTACCATAACGTCTTGTTTATTTTTTATTTTATCCACAAAATTGGAGTTTTGTCGGGCTTTTAATAATTTAGCCAGATGTTCTGTAATACCTTTCGAGTTGGTAGTTAATACTATTAAATTCTCAACTTTTTTTTTCCATTAATAACTCCAGATCAAATAAATAGACATTGCCCAGCAAAGTTTTTTTTTTGTTTTTTTTTACATTTTCCCTCCAAGCACTTACAATCATCAGGTTTCAAAACTGCTCCAACTCTCTCATCTCGGCTTCTGTAAACTTCCTGTCCAGTACAAAATCACAAGGGATAGAGCTGTCTCCAGTAGCCATCCACCGACTCGCTTGGAGAAGGGAGTAGGTAGCAGTGTAGTCGTTTGCATTGTTGTGCTTGTGTGTTTGTGGAGACACACACAAGAGTGGCTCCATTGGACCCTGCAAGAAAAAGGCGCCACCCTAAAACTGGATATCAGGGCTAGTGCTCGGGGGACCAGCTGATTCTACATTAAGCTAAAACTTGTAAACATCAAGGAACAGTATACATTGTAAGTGATTTCATCAGCATTTTACATAAAAACCTTTTGACTTTAATATCACTTTAACTGAAATCTATTTGTTCCTGAGTTACAACATGCCAACTGCCACATAGTCCTGCATATTTCAAGAATCAGTGTGGGAGGGAACTTCTTAAATAAAACTATAGGCAAAATAAAAAAATGGCATATATAATGTAGTCTTTCAATAACATTAACATAAGGCCTTATGCACATGGGGCTTTTATGTACGTTTATCTGTACAGACCCACAGAGCTTTTATGTGTGTTCATCTGTACAGACCCACCTGGGAGTATGGTTGCAAGAATCTGTAGGCTCTTTGCACAGGAATTCCCGAATGCACATAAAAGCCCCGTGTAATTCTCAGTCTGCCCTGTAACATAGTTTTAATGCCTTTTGATCTTGCCAGTCGATCCATTATATTTTTAATATTTCTTTTTTTTAAATAAATTCTTTTATTTAACAAGTTTTTTTACAAATACAAATAGACATAAACAAAAAGGTTTACACAAGGGGAACCAAGCCCCATCTCAAAGATAGTGGACACAGCCACTGAACATATGGGCGAAGGAGAGGGGGATAGTCTCCTCTCTTTAAATGCCCTCTGCGCCATCTGCCATGTAGGGCCCACCGTCGGGTGTTTCCTCAGCTGTCCAGGGAGAGCATGGGTGTATCAGTGAGGGTAGATGCGGCTGGAGTCGCATGGCAAGGACCTTAGCGAATAGCTTAGTGTCGATATTTAAGAGAGAGATAGGGCGGTAACTTTGTCACAGAGTCGGGTCTTTTTCAGGTTTTGGGATAACCGCGATGTGGGCGGATAGGGCGTCCCTAGGGAGGGAATGGAGTTATCTGACAGAGTTCCAGGCAGCAAGCATCCGTTCATTGAGAATGGCCGGGAATTTCTTGTAATAAGCAAGGGTGAAGCCATCAGGGCCCAGGGCTTTTCCCGTATTGGTCTGCTTGACGGCCAGCTCCAAGGAGGACCTCTCCAAGGAGGACCGTATCTCAGAGGGGAGACAGGGCATATCAGCCTCTTCCAAATACGTCCGGATGCGCCGCTGTCGCGCTGTCGTTGCCGAAGCGGTCCGGGGGGTCGGTAGGTTGTAAAGGGCGGCGTAGTAATCGCGGAACGCGACGGCTATGTCTTCCGAGAGGTGGCAGGTGTTGCCAGAGGGGGCCTTGACTACCGGCACAAAGGTACGAGCCCTTTGTTGACGCAGGGCTTGCGCAAGGGAACGGCTACATTGATTCCCAAATTCATAAAAATGCCGGCGGCATCAGGTAAGATTAGCTTTGGCTCTGTCCATTTCCAATGAGCACAGGGA